GGCATCTGGAACATGAGAATTAGGAGCAGTCTTTGGTTTCTGAGGTGCCCGAAAGTGGGGACTCCCGACTCCCCAAGTCTAAGAAGGCCTCAGTGATAAGGAAAACTAGCCAAAAAAAAAAAAAAAAATCATCCATGCCGGCTCCCTGCCATGGGCTCCTCCCTGCCACGGGCTTACAGATCTCACTTCCTCTCCGCCCCCCAAAGCCTGACTCCTGGTCCCAGCCCTGCTGCTCACTGGGGTGGGGGTGGGGGTGAGGCTGTGGGTGTCACTGCACCTGTAAGGGGAGAAGCTGGTCAGGATACAGGATCCTGGCTATCCTGGCAGTGCTCAAGCTGATACTGTAACTTTGTAGTGAGTTACTTAATGCAAAGGTTTAACTTCTGAGTATTCAGATATGTGTATTCTAACACGGAAATCCTGAACGTAGAACACAGGCCACACCCGCACACAGATGCTATCTGGCTAGCACTCTTTGGCTAGCATTCTTTCTTGTTTGCCTTTTCAATAGACGTTTTTAAAAGCAGTTTTCAGTTCAAAGCCAAATCAGGAGGAAAGTACAGAGTCCCCACATATCTATCTCCTTCCCCAGCACAGGCAGAGTCTCCATCATTCTCCTGCCCCCACCGGAGCAGCACACTTCTGTATGACCGACAGACCCGCATCAATGCGGCACCACCACCCAGAGTCCACAGCTCCCACGAGGGCTCGGCCTGCTGCTGCTCACTCTGTGAGTTTCACAGACATGGAACGGCATGGATCCCCCATGAAAGCCCCATCCAGAGTTGCTTCCCCAACCTACACATCCCCCTATGCTCCTCCCATTCATCCCTCCCTTCCCCAACCCCTGGCAGCCTCTGACCATTCTACTGTCTCCACAGCTTTGCCTTTTCCAGACTGTCCTGCGGTTGGACTCACACAGCAGGCAGCCTTTCCAGATTGGAGACTCACTTAGCAACATGCGTTTAAGATCCGTGTCTTTTCATGGCTTAGTGGTCCAGTTCTTTTTAGTGCTGAATAATATCCCAGTTTCTGACGTAACACAGTTTATCCGTTCACTTACTGAAGCACATCTTGGTTGCTTTCTAGTTTTGGCAATTGTAAATAAAGCTATAAAGCTGCTGTCAACATCTGTGTGCACATTTCCTCGTGGAAGTAAATTTTCAGCTCCTCTGAGTGAACGTCCAGGACTGTGATTGGTCCTGTGGTCGGATTGCTTAGTTCCATGGAAAACCGCCACGCTGCCTCCCACAGCAGCTGCCCCACTTCCCCCAGCGACGAGTGACGGTCCTGACGCCCACACATCCACCAGCTCACGGTCGTGTCGGAGTTCCAGTATTGACCAGGCTGGTGGGTGTGCAGTGGCGCCTCGCCCTATGACATAAGACACGGGCCATCTTTCCACGTGGAGATTTGCCATCTGTGTATCTTCTTTGTTGGGGTATCTGTCCAGGTCTTTTTTCCATTTTTAATCAGCTTGTTCATTTTCTTGTTTTGAGAGTTCCTTGCACGGTTTGGATAACAGCCTTTATCAGATGAGTCTTTTACAGATACGTTCTCCTCGTCTGTGGCCTGCCCTCTCATGCTCCTGAGACACTATTTTAAAAAACATTTTAGACAGAAGATGGACCTCCCAGCCCACCGCGGTTCTCATTTTGGCCGTGGTCACCACCCTCCCAGCCCTGGTTCCCACCTTTCCACGATCTGCTCGTCCTAAGGGGGTTTCTCCATACGAAGTTCCTAACATATCTCCAACGATGGCAACATAAAAGCAGGCAGTTTGCAGATGGCAGGGAGCTGATGGAGGCCGGAGCAGAGTGTGAAGGCCAGCGGCTTCATCCTTCGGGGACAGGCAGGCCTCTCAGATGTCCCTCTGGGTCACCTCCCAAATGAAGTACCTGCCTTGGCCATGGGCAGGAAGCAGGACCTGGCCCAGATCTCAGCATATGTGACCTGGCACGGCATTTACAGGTGAGCCTCCGTAACCGGAAACTCTACTCTGGAGAGAACACATTTTCATTATCAAGGCTTATTAATTAAGAAACCAAAGAGCAATGCCTGGAGCGAGGATACAGGGACTCTGTGTGACCCACACGCTCGTTTCCACCTGGCGCAAAGGACCCTGAAGTGAGGTGCAGTGCCTGCTCTGAGTCACCAGCACCCTCGTCGTTTCTACATGAAGAACCCAGTGAGTCTGTCCCAGGACTTTTTAGCCTAGACTTAAAAATTCACAGCCCAGGAAACCCTAACCATTTTAGGAACCTGAGGGGTGGGCCAAGGGGATCTCACAGTTTGGTGCTGGCTTTGGAGTCAGGAAAGGGTGGTTGGGGCTTCCCGCAAGCACTCCCGGGAGGCCGTGCACTGGCCCGAGGCTGGTTCCACCTCCTGTCCTCGGTTCTCATGCCCAGCAGTGACAGGAGCGCTTCTTCCGGAGCAGTCCCTGGCTCCAGGCCCCAACATCCATGTCCAGGCCCCTAGTGGGGCAGCTTCTACCCAGGGAGGCTTGGACTGGAGACAGCCTGGAGCTCTAGGCAATCCTGGCAACCACCTGCTTCCCGAAGTGGCTGCAGACAAACTCCTGCTTCCAAAACCTGGCACGGGCTGTGTGAGGCCTGGAACATGGGAGGCACACTTCGCAGGGTCCCTGATCAGATGCAAAAGCAAGGCTAAGAGCAGGAAAATTATTTAATTATCCTCTTGGTCATCAAATAAAGTCATAGTCACTTAGACCTCTGTGTGACTAGAAGTATATACATTATACAAGGGTATATAAATGTAAATACATGCATGCTTATTTTCGTTTTATATACCTTACATATATATATATCCATACATGCATATATATAAAACATTGATAAACCGTAGTTAAGATTTCAAATCTCAGTCACAAAGATCTCAGAAGCAAATTACTATCCTTAAATTCTAAACAAAGACGTAACATTTTAGATTCTTGTGAACAAAAGGTTCTCTATTAGCATTTTATTTTAAAAACTAAGATTTCTATTTTAAATAATCACTTTCACTGAGAGATTCTATAACTTGCTACACACCTTGATTTCCAACAATAGCTCATTAGTTTAAGAAAAACTGCTCTACGGGACTTTTGCTATTTTAAAGCATAATGATGTCGTTCTCTCTACACCCAAGAATAGAAAGATGCCCGTGCAGATGTTTCCAAAGCAATTCAGATGAGATGGTCTAGACACACAGTTTAAGACCATCACATTTTCAAGAAAAAAAAAAAAGAATTACATTTTCAAGAAAAAAAAAAAATCTCATTTTCAAGGGCAGAAGATCAAGACCAAATCCAGGATGTTCTGAAGGGGTCACCTTATATTTAAATTTCATGTATTTGTAACTTGGGTGGAACACGACATCCTTAAAGATAACCAAATAATGTACCACAGCCCTTAAAACCCGCAGTATAGTATCTCTTTTGTTTGACATACACTTAATTTTGTCACATCTTCGTTTTATAATTTCAAGATTTCTAAAGCTCCTAAAGCCTCAAATCGAGAGAGAATTTGACTTTGGCAATTCCCAAAGTCACAAGCAGGTTGTATGTCCACAGCTATTTGGCATGTGGTTTCTGATGGAAGCTTCTATGAATGCACATGAAATCCCTCTGGACTGCAAAGACTGACTCAGCGTGTCTCAGAATGAAAATATATACATTTGTAATGGACAACAGAACAGATCCTAATTACTAAAACAACAGGAAAGTCTACAGCACTTCTCATACAGAACGAATGCAAAGTGTTTGAGGAAAAGTCTTTCCAACTGAAAATATCAGAGCTGATTGGAACAAAGAAGATTCTGAAGATGATCCTCCCTGCTTTATGAGACTTTTAGAATTTTCCTCATCTGCAAGTGAAAATGAACCTCCTGCTTGCCCACTGAGGACAGGGAGAGAACAGGGTACGATAACAGACCTTCAAACACTTCATAGGGGGAGAAAGGAAGACGGGCCAGTCCCGTACACCCATCGGCACACCCACACCAGCTGTGCAGATAACTGTGATAGCCGGGCATCTCAATGAGACAGCTGGGCACGGGTGATCTGCCAAAAGACAAGATGGCCAAGTTTGGGCGGAATCCCTGGAGGGTGGTCACTCCAGGGCCTCTCAGGTCTGTGCCCAGGAATCTGCATTTCCAAGTAGCCCAGATGAGCTGCTACCCAGAGGCCCTCACCAGTCATGGCTCACACAGGCATCGGAACTCCACACGCCTCCTCCTTCTGCAAGGTCTGGCGTGGATTTTCCTTAATTGCCGACACCGTGCTCCTCTACGCCTACTCTCACCATTGGTCCCGAGTTTACTGAACTTACAAACAGAACAAGAGAAGGGAACTACAAGGGAAAACATCCACCTGAAACAGGACTGACCAGGGCTTGCGTCAGCGGACACAGCAAACACAGCACATATCTGTGCACGGCTCACCACTCACAAAGTCCACAGCAGTGCGGTTTCCACTCAGAACATCCGGGTGTCTGCGGGCATGGAGAAGATGCTGCACAGCTGTTTCTATGCTAAATACTTAAAGGTGTGAATTTTATTACATATAGAAAAATGTGTGTTTAGAATACAAATGTGTGCATTTATGTTAAATACATGAAAACACGTAATCCAGGTGTTTCGGTTCATACCACTGTGGAGACTTTTTGGTTTGTTTTCATACAACTGCCTAACTGGGGCCCAGAACCAACACCCACCAGCTGTGCCACTGCATCTGTTTTACTGTCACAGACCAGCCCTACCCCACAAAAAAAAAAAAAAAAAAAAAAAGCCATGGCACTTATTAAAAAATTAATTTGACAACATTATTAGAGATGACTTGTGGTCCTCTTTGAAGAGATTGCAGCACATGAAGGATTTCAAATACACGTATGTTCTGGGTCTCCTGATCTTAGGACCTGTCCACACTGGTGGCTTTAACGGTGCTTCGTGGAAACCTCTGGAAAGCATGTGTGTCATGTCTAAGAGCAAATTAGAGTTCACACCTCAGCACTGTGTGCCTCTTCTTTCCTCCATCCCACAGGCACTGCCTTCTCCCAGGGAGCTGGTGTGTGCCTCTGTCCCGCCAGTCTCCGCCAAGTCCCTGGTGCCATTGTGGAGAACCAGCCTCCGTCTGTCCAGGTGTGTTGTGCAGAAAGCAACTCATCCAAATCTGTTTAAGAAACACACATTTGAGATGCCTATAGGCCTCAGAAGGTGGAGGCAGACAGGATAAAGGCAGCTGTCGTAGGGGCTGAAGATCAAGCCTGTCTAGCGACTGATGGACGCTGTCTGCAGTGAGCCACCGCACATTTAGCGAGGCTGTCTGGCTCCTCACCTCCACCAAGCCTCCACCCGTCATGTCTGGCCTCGATTCTCTGACGCCTGCACGACCTTCACCTGGTTCATAACCCAGCTCACAAAGGACCCCATACAAAGGCCCCCGTACCGCAGCAAGGACGGCGGTGGTCGCACCTGCGGCCATTTATCCTCTCTGCATCTAGCTCCTCTCCCTGAGGCAACAGCACCTCTGGAGTCACAGCCTGGCCTCCCAACTCTCCCCCATCCAGGGCTTCTTGGTGTGTTGCTCTGCTTCACACACCTCAGCAAATACTGCTGATTAGCCAGAATCACCCAGAAATCTCTTGATTCTGGCTGCTTTTGTAATTTGTAATATTTGTACTTCTGGTGTGATTTGAGGAACAACAAATTTTAAAATTAGAGAAGATGTGGTTTTTATTCTCTCCTTTCTACCTGCAACCTTGAAAATTCTAGCAGCAGCAAGGGTTTGCTGAAAGTAACTTCCAACGAATAGAACCTATTACAAATGTACTACAGAGTGTCAAATAACCACATAGATGTAAATAGAGATGCAGACACAGATATAAAATCCAATGGTTAAACCAGATTGAGAAATGCTTGCCAGTTTGCAGGACTTCTAAAACTTGACATAAATGTTGGCTAAGGGATATAAGATGTTTTGAGATGAGTGAGATGCTTGGCCTAGAACCACAGGCTCTCTCCTCTTTATAGCAGAAAATCCATAAGAAGGTCAAATCTGAAAGAACCAGGCACCGTTGAGTGGCATGATCAGCCATCCTTCCCCATCCCTGGGCCAGCTGCAGTGAGTGCAGCCAGTCCTTCACCAACATCCGTCCTCCAGGCCATGGCTACACTTTACTCCCAGCTCCCTGTCATTATGTAGATTAGGCAAATCATGGCCACTCTCACCCTAAGCCTCACCCCCACACCCCACTCTGCCAGCGTGGCACTCACCCAGTCCCAACCACAGCAAGGACAGCCGTGTCCTTGGGAACGCAAAGCAGGGGTCTGGAAGGAACTTGGATCCCCAAATACCTCATGGAGTAGTCACCAGCCTGGAACTTCCTCCCTGAAGGGTTTGCAAGAGAGAAAACCTCCTTTGCTCCTGAAGCTACAATCCCGCAGAGTCTCCGGTCCCAGCATCCTTACCTACCCTCGTCAGGAGCCGTTCATGCTCATCAAGACATGAGAACAAAACTGCAGTGGCACAGTCACACCCCCCAGAACGCAGACCACCTGCCGCTCACATTCATCGTATTAACACTAAAAAGCCACCGCGGTGGATATCCTGGATGTGGAAACTCTGCGGCCTTTTGCTGGAGATGCGCTTTGTGCGTTTATCGCACGACCATCTTGGTATCAGGAGGGGCTGCGCAGATGGCAGCTGTGCACGTCACAGGGAGTCTTACGCACTGGACTCTCGGCCAGCTCCCAGCATCAGCGCCCACAGGGTCCTCTCCTCCGGGAGGCACGAGCTTGAATGCCAGAGTGTCCTGTGGATCCACACAACCGCGCTGTGTGCCCCAGGAGCTTAGAAACTACCACTGCGTCCACAGGTGACGCCGGGGGCAGAAGCCAACCTCAAGCAGTCACGGTCCTCTGTGGGGCTGGCGTCCAGGCAGGAAGGCGGCTCAGCAGCTCTCCTCTCACTGTGGAACTTCCTAGGTCTCCACATGAACAGAACCTAAGCAACAAACAACAGGAACGAGAACACGACCAGCAGCTTCTAAGATGGGCAAGCTGGGCTGATCATGAGACACCTGACGGGGACGGTGCCAGAGCCCCTGCCAGTGACCCGTGAGGACAGCGCTGCCGACATCTCCGTAAAACCAGCCCAAGTCGAGTTAGACTCGAGGCTTCCCAGGAGTGGGCAGATCCATTCAATCTCCACAGTCTGAACCTTCTAGGCCATCTCATGGCCCTCATCTCAACAGATGGGAACCAGGACACTGCACCATAGACCCTGCCCCAAGCCCCCGTTCCTTCCTCTATACCACACACCAGTACAGAGAACACTTAGGGACTGGCCATTCATGTAAAATACTGCTTAACTCAAACTTCTGATTTAGAAAATCTAATTCCTACTCACAGAGCTGAAAGTGTTCTGTGCTGGGAGGCGGCAGCTGTAATTAAGCATGAGAGAAGAAGGAGGGATCAGAGTGGTGCCAAGTACTAAATATTCATCTAAATCTATTCACCACACCTACATGCTCCTCTCATCTGTTTCATTTTCTTTCCTTAAAAGACACCATAATTAGGTGTCAAAATAGACAACCTATTTTACTGATACTTAACTATAAAGGAGGGAGCTACGTATCCAAAAGAGATATGGGAAAACAGAAAATGTCCACAAGCGATCGGGTGGGAGGGCAGCTGCAGCAGCACCTGGCTCTGTTGCGTTGTGAGCCAGCTACGTGGGCTGGACAGCTCATTTAGCCACTGAAATTACATCATCTAAGATTTTTGTTTCAGTTACTTTGATAAATTCTCCCTCCTGCTATGGAGAGTAAGGGTTTAGCTTGCTTTCCTTTTATTTTTTTGAGTCGGAGTCTCGCTCTGTCACCCAGGCCAGAGTGCAGTATTACAGTCATGACTCATCGTGGCCTTGACCTTCTGGCTGAAGCAATCCTCCCGCCTCAGCCTTCCAAGTAGCTGGGACCCACAAGCGAGTTTCATTTCTTTGCTAACCAATTCCTTTTCACCACTGTGCGGCGAGCCCATCAGGACCATCTGCCTGGATGTCCACCTTGCTGACCGGCTGTGTGGTCTCTAAGGAGGATGCACCCTGGTTGCCCAGGCTCTGCATGCAATGCTGAGTCTCCACGTCTGCCGCCGTCTAAGGGATTGACAGACCGGAGCATCCCCACGTGCCACCGTAAGCCAGGCTTTATTCCACAGGGTGACTCTGCTTCCCGTGACGAGATGCAGCACGTGAGCACAGATCAAAGGGTGTGAGCAATAACACATTTCCCAGATACTAAGCAGAGGACCAAGGCTTTAGTTCCTTACTTATTTGCCATAGGCTTGATTCAAAACAGCTTTCTGGGATCCTGGGGACAAACGTCTCTAACTAGTGAGAATTCTGGGTTCAGTAACGGAAGACTCAACTAATGCCCACTTTGTAACTGCTGTTTCCATCAGAACTTGAGGCCGAAGAAAGGGAAAAATAAAAGGGGGACCAAGGTCCTGACACCCCAGTTTGTACAAGGCCAACCAGCCTGCTTGAGGGGTGAAAGGAACAGTGTTTTTAAATTGCCGACTTTTAAAAACCTGGCCGTAGGCTGGGCGCAGTGGCTCACGACCGTAAGCCCAGCACTTTGGGAGGCTGAGATGGGAGGATTGCTTGAGACCAGTTCAAGACTAGCCTGGGCAACACAAGACCCTATCACTTTAAAAAGTAAAAAAAGTCTTTTATTAAAATAGTAATAAAAAGGTTAATACAATAAATTACTATGTCAACACGGCACCCCCTGCTGTCAGACGAGGTGGATTCTCTGTGGCTACAATGAGGCCCAGAGAAAAATGTAATCGGCATCACAGAGAGGAAGGTCAGCCTCGAAGCCCCACGACACTAACTCCTTTGCAGTTTGTTAACCAGCCTGAAGTCTCCTCCACCATCAGACAGAAGCCTGGTTTAGAGGAATGCTGCCCACGAGACCTGGGTGGACTTCCGACGCCAGCCAACCAGACAGCCCCACCCTGGGACCCTGACGGCAGCCCCAACTGGAGAGAATGGCCTCGTGAGTGTCCTTTCCCGCCAGAAACCGCAGACTCTGAGCCAGTCCTGGCTGTGATTGAGGCTGCGCATAAACGTCTGTGCCCAACAACTCACCTTTGTACATGACACGCTGAGTCCGCCTCATTTCAAATGTTACACTAGCCCCAAGGCGAACATGGATGTTACAGGTTAACTCACTGTGCATGTGCTAGACTTTCCCTGTAAGTGTTCAGACATTCCACGAACCGGATGAAGAAACCCCACTTTCCCTGTAAACGTTCAGACATTCCATGAGCCCGATGAACACACACAGCAAACAAAAACCGGAAGGTTTAACGCCGCGGCCTCCCCCCTTCCTGAAGGATGTGTGCTTACAGCTCCCCCGAGACCACATTTCCCAAAGCACAGACTTACTCTGAAAACAAAACTTCCTTTTTTCCTTCCTCTGTACATTTCATAGGTCATATTAGCAACTATTGCTACAAATGCAAAGAAATCGGGTATCATCTGTGCTGGTCACCCAGTTCCTACCACCAAAGCTTCAGGGCCCCCCAGTCTGATGGAAGCTTCTGTCGCCCTAAAGCCAACTCTGGAGATGAAGGCCGAGCTGGGGAAAGGCTGCGTCACCCACCAATCCACACCCCGGGGCCCTCTGCAGCTGTGTGTAAGGAATTCTTGGCCTGTCCTGGGGTTTGGGGAAATCAGGATGCAAGCAGATACGGTACGCTCTGCCATAGGACCATGAAGTCCGCAGGACCTCAGAGGAACACAGACAAATGGCTGCACGAGTCCCACAGGCCGCACCTCGATGGGCACCCGTGTCAAGAATACAGACATGCCAGGAGAGGCAGCCGATGAAGGCAACGCTTGCAACCCCAGCACGCGGCAGTGTCCGAGTGTGGGGGTCTCTGGCCAGGCTCCACCACAACTGCCATATTCTGTGACAAACTTTTAAAAATAGGTTTTAGCTATTTACAACTCTAACTTGTTTTACAGATAAACAGAACACAGGGTTCCAACAGGCTCCAAAATACTTTGCCTAGAACCAAGTCTAGAATGCAGATGGCTGCTGCTCCGAGTGTCATGAGTCCCCTGTAGTGCCATAAATCCTAGATCTAGTTGACTAAGTGCTCTTCCTAAACCAGAAGGCACCCTCTGTCCCCAGACCAGTCCATCAGCCCTGGCAGAAGCTTCTAGAGTAAGAGCCTGTGGATTTGTATTGGATGGATGTAAACCAGGCAAAGTCACCGGGGCTCATCCCGGAAGCCCATCCATTTACCCTCTCATGCCCTGAAGATCCTTGCCCCCAGCTCCACACCCTCAGTCACGCTGAACCACAAGAACTGGCTTCTAGGCCTTAAGCCACTCCCACTCTCCCGTGGACAGACCGTTCTCAAACCATGAGGCCCAGAGTAGCCTTAACAGGTGGTCCCAGCAGACCTGGCCGCTGCATTTTCTTACTGGCAAATGAGTCAACAGTTACCCAAGTAGAGCAACCAAACGGGATGTTTTTCCACTTAAAAGGTCTCATTTTTGTCCATTTAGAATTGATACTTTGTGTATGTGTGTATGGGGATGTGTGTGGGGTATGTGTGTATGGGGACGTGTGTGTGTGGGGACGTGTGTGTGTGTGTGTGGTGGCAGGGGTTCTCGTTCTGTCACTCAGGCACACTGCACCGTAAGTACAGTGGTGCTATCACGATTCACTGCAGCCTCAACCTCCTGAGTGGCTGGGACCACAGGTGCACACCACCACTATTTAATTTTTTGTAGTGTCAGGGTCTTGCTATGTTGCCCAGGCTGGTCTCAAACTCCTGGGCTCAAAACTGAATTTGCTCACCTCAACCTCTCAAGGTGCTGAGATTAAAGGTGTGAGCCACTATGCCCAGCCTAGGATTGATATTTCTTAAACTATTACTGAGTTTAACACATGAATTCCACTGACATAGATACCAGCACACTCTCACAGCTCAAAGGTTTTTCTGAATCTCGATTCTGTCCATTCAAGATCAATACCTAAAGAAAGGGCCAGAACTGACCCTCCCCTCAATGAAGCCTAAGGGCAAATGCAGCAGCATCTCAGGGTATGAGGAGACAAAGAAGGGTGGAAAACACACATTGAAATTCTGGTGTTAGAATCATAATCAACACTTTAAGAGACAATCTGCTTTCAAAAACATGTAGCTGCTGGATTGACCTCAAAGTCACCAGATTCCACAGGCAGGCGCTCAGAGAGGCACAGCTTTCTAAGGCCACCCACGCCGGCAGCCTAACAGTCTCGGGGCAAATAAACAAAGGCTTGTTTCTCTCAAGGAAGAAGGTGCTCAAGTCCTTCCAAATAGTTTCTTCTTCTAAATCAGTTAGAACGCCTCCTACAACACTGTTTAGAGTGCCAGTGTGTTCAGAAGTGTGAAGTGAAAATACATCTCAGGACCCCGAAATCACTAAGCTAAAGTGAAGTCAAGGTGGGAAACGGCTTAGGGCAAACCTGCCTCCCATGCTCCTAACAGAGACTAGAGGAAAAAAAAAAAAAAAAAAAAAAAAGCCACGTACTTCCCTCACAACCGTTGGTCCACAAGGAAATTCCTCAGGGACAGAGGACAGAACTGAAAGTCACCATCTGCACACGGAGATAAATGCGGATCTTACTGCTTTCTCTGGAAAGGCTCACCAGAAACGCATCTGTCTCTGATCTACCTGTGACCTGGAAACCCCTCCCCGCTTCGAGTCATCCCTCCTTCCTGGACCAAACCAACGAACATCTCATATATTGATGTCTCACATGTCCCTAAAAAGTGTAAGGCCAAGTTGTGCCCCACACACCTTGGGCACATGTCCAGGACCTGAGACTGTCACGGCGCATCCTCAGCCCCTCCTAAGGCTGGTGTCCCGGGTGTGTCCTCAACCCCTCCTGACGCTGTGTCTTTAACCTTGGGAAAATGAACTTTCTGAATGGGCCGAGAACTATCTCAGATGCTTCTGGTTTACAGGAAGCATTCTCTCCTGCGGGTATAATGCAATCATGTGGAATCACAAAATGCCACTTTAGTAAAGGCCGAAGGAATTAGGGTTTGATGTGCTTTTTAAAAAAAAAAAAAAAAAGGAACGTTCTATTTATCAATGGACCATGAAAACCCACACCCCCTTCTGCAGTGATGTCAACTGGGACAAGGGGCCCCCTCCTGGGGATGCAGCAAAGGCTACCCTCTGACCCCACTCCCCAGAGTCCAGGCTTCCTGCTGCTCAGGGAACAGCAACCCCAGCTTCACGGGGCTCAGGCCGCCAAACCCAACTCCCATCCATGCTGGAGAATCACCCCAGGGACTAGCGAAATGGCAAGTGCAACTCTCATCTCATCCCCTTAAAGGAGAAAAGGCACCTTCCCACTCCTCTTCCTGCTGGTGGGAACAGGAACAGGGGCAGGAGCTGGAGGGGCAGGAGCTGGAGGGGCAGGAGTCGGGCAGCAGGAGGGAAGCAGCCTGGGTCCCTGCTAGTCCCAGGTGGCAAAT